AGGGAATGGGAACATGACCAATTACAAATGCACTGCCGGCGGAAAGTCATGAGTCTATTTTTCTCTTTACCTTCGCCGTTCCTAGTCGCTGGTTCAGGGTTCCAACAGCCGTGCTGTGGTGGTGGAAACAAGTCACAGGTAGGGAACCGCTTCTTCATCCGGGTATCAGCCATGTTGAGGACTTCCTCACACCACGAACGGCACGGTAGCAGTGGTTTGTTCCTAAATACACAGACATGTTTAGGAATATCGACATGAGGTTTTCTTACATTTATAACACACAAAAAAGAAAATGCAATTTAAGCACGAGCGTTTACGTTTCATTTGAATATGGACGAACTTATTGCTAACTATAACTGTGGAATTATAAAACTTACCAATACTAATAAAGTAGCGTTTAAAACACGCCTCGGCGACGTGATTCTCTTTTGATGTAAGTGATGATCATGATGTCTGTTTTGGTTACTGTGTGCTTGTTTAAGGATGTGCGCCAGTCATATGTTTCTCACGAGGATATAATAATAAACATACACTTGAGAAATAAGGGTATTCTAGCATATATTCATAAATTATGCAAATTAGGATCCAATTTGAATAAATTATGTTTAGTGATGTTCACCTTCACTGAACTTCCAGTATGGCAAGCACTAAATTCCCAGCAATTACCACTATAACATTGTATAGTTCATATTAATTATGCAAATTAGGTATTTATTTACATAATGAATATCTGCTTAAGATCTTTGTCTTTCTCAATTACAAATGTCACAAGTGTTTTATAGCCCTAACATCGAACACAGCAGATTTATAGAATTTCTTCATTGATTATGCAAATTAGATGATGATTTTCATAATTGTAATTCAATTATATCAAGCATCACTTAAGCTACATACTTACAAAAATACCAAAAAACATGATCCGTCCACCGCTCTTTTAGATAAAAGAAATCGTCCTGCAGTTCCATGACAAGCTGATAGGGGGCCTTTACTCGCGTGACTTCTTTCTAAGCACAAGAGCTACCTTCCATTTAAAATTCATGACCCTAGCATGTCCCGATCGCGAAATATCAAGACCAGAAATTCCGCTGCAGTACCAAGGGAAGCCACGAGGGACCCAAAATCCTATCATTTCTGGATTTCGTCACACCCTACGAACAAGTATGAAACCAATCCTCCTGTCGTTCTTGAGTTATCTTGTTGACAAAATTTAAGTATTGATTGCTTTACGTGGAATTCTTAGAATATTTTCTAATCAATCGCAGTACTATTCCAACGGCTCGGCCCCTGAGGCGTCGTCAAAAATCATGATTAACGTAACAAAGCGTGCTTACTCACATGCAAGAGGTCGCGTTGTCTGCATGATGAGACAAAGAGCAGGTAGTGTCGTTCTCTTTGGGTACAGCACATTGCGGGAAAATCACTGTAGATGCGAATTCCCGGAACTCGGGATGTCGGTTCTGTCCGTCTGTGGGCGAACTAATGAGCAGGTCCACAGCAGAGGAATTCTGTATCTCTTCAAACGTCGTCTGACCCAGCTGATTGGGTAACATTGTAAGTCTACCGCCGAGGTTGAAATCCACAGGAATCGGCAGGCACTCTGCATATTACAAAACAGCCATTGTACCATTCACATTCTTTAAACATCGACAGGAGGCACTGACAAAGATGTAAAAATGATCCAGTAAGAATTTTGCCCGAAATGCAAGTTGAAACTTTTTTCGGCAGCATCATGAAATCATCGGACTTTTACCATAATAATGATTCTATTCTTTTATTTCTATTTATTTTCCTGTTACTTTCAATTTTTTTCAGCATTAAGGGCCACGACAAAACAAAATAGTATAGTCAACAGACTTTGGATGATGGGAGTTAATATTGTGAGAAAAGCATGACGGTAACAGGAGTAAATAATGCTTAATATCAAGACCTTGTTCCCTTGTAAAGAAAATTGAATTTACAAGTAAGGTTATTGTACGAGCAACTGTTTGCATGTGAAAACTAAAAGGACTTTGTGAGAGCAGCTTACCACAACCGTCCTCGTCACTCCCGTCCGAACAGTCCGTCCTCCCGTCACACCGCCTCCAGGTCAGGGTGCAGGCATGCCCGTGTCCGCACCGGAAGTACCCGAGGGGGCAGCGGATCGCTGTGTAAGGAAAAAGCCGGTTAGGTAGAACTGTAACATTTGCAATGTCACCGTAACATGGTCCAGCCCAACAACTGATCTGGTTATTTTGACTTAAACATCGACGTTCAGGTTGATAGTGACCAGCCCCTCCAGCTTGTTCCGTCATATTGTTACATAATTTATTCCAACACCATATATGGTGCCCAGTCCCTGGAGGTCGGCCCTGCCACTTTGCTACATCAATATAACCAAACAACAAGGATCACTGTGAGACGGGAGGGACAACCGTGTGGTCCGAGTCATTGACATTAATTTGGAGTTGAAGGAGAGGAAACGGAACAAAATAATGTTACTAATTTGCGGAGGTAAAGTTGACATAATTTTGACATACCGTCCTTTAGCTGGCAGATGAAGTTGAATGCGGACGAGCACGGCGCGTCGTTCCATCCGGCCCCGAGGTGGTTGACACAGCCTTCTCCGTTACTGTTGGGTTCCCCGGGCTGCCACCCAGTCCAGTCTGCGGCTGGGCTGTATGGAGTCCCGTCTTCCCACGCCCACCCTCCCTCTCCGTTCTGATTGTTCAGGCCCAACCAGAAAGGAGAGTTGGGATCCACGTCGTTCTTGAGGTCCATCAAGAAGTCGTCCACTTCTCTGTCCTTCGGCATGGCGAGGAGCCCCCCGTCCGCTGCACACACCTGTCTGGCCTGACTGTAGGTTTTGACTTGGTTGTACGCCTTGAAGCACGAATCCCCGTGTGCGGTGTAACCCATTGGACAACCTACAGAAATATTTAATCCTTTAAGCTTTTTAAAAATTAAATTCATACTATTTTAGGAAACTAGTTCATAACTGCATAGAGAACTGGTATTCTCTATACAATAACTCTCAGACTCGACTTCCTCTTCTCGACAAACCAGTCAACTGTTAAAACTCTCCCACTCAGACTCGACTGGAGCAATGTGATTTTAAATCGGTTCCCATTGACTGACAGAAACAGAAATCGGCACAGTATTAGGTATTTTAACAACAACAACAACAAAAAACACTTTCCCGAGTCTTTATTAACTACTTACCGCCTTGCAATAGCGTAGTGACCGGAGTCGTGATTCCCTCATCAGTGGTAGGTGTGATGACCGGAGTCGTGATTCCCTCGGCAGTGGTAGGTGTGATGACCGGAGTCGTGATTCCCTCGGCAGTGGTAGGTGTAATGACTGGAGCTGTGCTTGTCTTCACAGTTGTTGTTGTTGGTGATGTAGGGATCACTGAAATGTTTGAATAGAAAGCCGAGCAGTTCAACTGTGCATCCTATTTACCAAATGCACAACTAGAGTCCCAGTCCCTGTGCTTACGTCTGCATGATACAAATTGATAGCTAAGTACAAGCAGACTTTTTTAAAGATGTGGACACCACGATATGTACAATATGTACCAAAGACGACAATTGCTAATCTTAGAATGTACTTCTTACACTTCTTCATTCAGACACAATGATACGTTATTATATATATATATATATTAGTTGCCAGACCCTGTTGCCTACAGAATAGAGGTACAAAACCTGTCTCGATATGTACTTACCAGTGGTGACGCCAGGAGGCGCTGCCGTGGAGAGGCAGATGCCCCATGGCCATACCAGACCCTCCACCAGGACAGTCTTGGTCAAGTCTGACTTGGATAACCTGGGGGATTGAAACACAGCAACTTATTGTGTCTGTTCAAATATGGATATATGTATTTATGCATACGCCTAAATTATATCCATATGTATGTATGTATGTATGTATGTATGTGTGAGTGTGTGTGTGTGTGTGTGTGTTGTGTGTGTGTGTGTGTGTGTGCGCGTGTGTGTCTGTGTGTTTCTCTCTCTCTCTCTCTCTGCGTGTGTGCGTGTGTGTGTGTTTGTTTGTGTGTGTGTGTGTGCGTGTGTGTGTGTCTGTGTGTTTCTCTCTATCTCTCTCTCTGCGTGTGTGCGTGTGTGTGTCTGTGTTTGTTTGTTTGTTTGTGTTGTGTGTGTGTGTGTGTGCGCGCGCGCGCGCGTGTGTGTGTGTCTGTGTGTTTCTCTCACTGTGTGTGTGTGCTGTGATGTTGTTTGTGTGTGTGTGTGTGTGTGTGTGTGTGTGTGCGTGTGTGTGTCTGTGTGTTTCTCTCTCTCTCTCTCTCTGCGTGTGTGCGTGTGTGTGTGTTTGTTTGTGTGTGTGTGTGTGTGCG